TCTCGCCGCGTCGGATCAGGTTGGAAAAGCTCCGCCCAGGACCCACAGAGAGACTGAAATGCACCGGTGTGTTCCCTATCTCCTGCTAGCCGCGTGCCATCAGTACGGAACCGCCCCTCCTCCACCTCCATGAAGTTTCAATCCCCTGCAATCAAGCACATGGTGTGCGCAGCCAAAGGAAGGAAAGCCTGAATAACACGCAGGTGCCTGCGATACATCGCAACATGATCCGAGGTGTTCGGCATGTGTACATTGACAATCACTATGTCCCCACGACATCCATTCAGGTGCGAAGCGAGAACTCGGCCAGCAATCAACGGGAACGAGGAAATCGATTCGAACTGCGAAGCCAGCTTACTCGAGATGACAGTAGCCACACCGCCCCCAGCTCTCGGATCGATCATCGAATGGCGAATAACTGCATTACGGCAACGGTCATCCCGCTGTAGCATCTCCACATCCGACACTGTGCCATGAGTCTCCTGTAAACACACAACGTCGAACCTTCCGACAAGACCATGCGTCTGCTTGTACCGCTTAGCTGCCACTGGAGACGACGTAGAGTACGAAGAGAAGAGAGCACGTGTATTCCAAGAGCACAGGGTAAGCGCAGAGGAGGGGGCGAATACCACATTCGCTCCAGAGGACGGGTCACCAGGGGTAAAAGGTCCGCCTGAATTCAAATTAAAACACGGGTTGGCTGGCTGAGCACCGTCCTGGCTAGTCGGAACACGGGTCCGATGGTTTCCCCCGCCAGGCCCCACATCCCAGGGGGGCCCGAACCACCAGGGACCCGACAATAATCGCCAGGCAGCGCACTGGGAGCCCCGAGGCAGGGGGCGCCAGAACAACTGTGGGCCTCACACAAAGGGCCGAATCTGATCAAAAAGAGTTGCAATACAGCCTGCATGATCGCCTACTCCGAAGGTTCCGAGGGCCTCAAGAATCAGAACAAGTTCAGGACGATCACACTCACGGACCGTGAACTTCGCCAGAATCACTGGGTGAGTCGCCGTAATGAGGCCGTATATTTGACCGCCGAGACCATTGCTGCCCACCTGGGAACCTTTCTCCCCCAGGACCTTCCCGATGATAGCACGAGTCTGCCCGAGGTAGTATAACAACTTACGGCTAGCGGGGGGCAAGTCCCGACGCACGCGGAGCTCCCATCCCTGGTTATCGATCGGGTTCTGGTATACAGTCTTACCAATAGCCTGGCTCTTACCAAAGAACGCAGTGCATGACAGAGTGCTGTGGAAGTCAAGAAGCGCCTTCCTCGTGAGAGAGTACGCTCGAACGATCGGCTCCTCCCCTGCTGGGCTGCACGCAGCGACAATAGGGGCCGCCGCTTCCTTGAGAGACGCCTCCAGAAGGGGTTTTTCAAATCCAAGGACAACAAGACGGGTGGCACTGGCTTGGTCAGGCCCCGACGTACGCATCATCTTCCGACGCCCTCCTTCCCCTTCTCCTCCCACGAGCTCGAACTCCGAGTCGGCACGAGTCGACGAGCATGCTGAAAGCTTCTGCTGTAGTTCCTGCATCTGACCTTCGATCTTTGTCACTGCTGCAGCAAACTTCGCATTCGTGTCAATCGAGACCTGGTGGATCGATGCGTCCTGGGATTTCTTAATCTCTGCCCAACGAGCCTCCGACCGACGATTCAACTCCGCGAACTCCTCCTGCATCCGATCGAAATTGGACCCCATCACTGTCATCTGCTTACTGAAAATTTCAAAGTTCTCGGTATGCGAGGAGAATCCTTCCTTCACTAACTTCGTCAACGCGTAGATCTGCGCTGACACCTCGCTCTGTACCTCGGGCGAGGCGGGTGGCACGCTTCCCCCTCCCGCCCCCGCAGGGGCAAAGGATGGTGAACTCTCTGGGGAGCCGAACATGGAGCCCGTCATGCGAGCGCCCTTTGCCATGGCAGGAGGAGGGAACGGGGAGGCCGGCCGCAGGCGCAGGCGCGCGGGCCGAGAGGGAGGGAAGCAGGGAGACCCGCGGCGCGGGTCGGGGGGAGCCAGGCAGCGCGGGTCGCGCAGACCACCCTGAGCCGATACGGCTTGAGCCAAAATGGCTACGGAAGGAGGAGGAGGAGGAGGAGGAGGAGGAGGAGGAGGGAGGAGGAGGAGGAGGAGGAGGAGGACCTCCTCCTCCTCCTCCTCCTCCTCCTCCTCCTCCTCCTCCTCCTCCGCCGCCGACCACGCCGCTCGTGCTGCTCCGCGCGAGGTCTATGGCTCCTGCACTTCTGAGACGCTCCTCCACCATCCCCTGCTCCCTCCGCCCTCATCCCCGCTCGTTCTGGGGCGCGCAAGCATGGATCGGCGATCCATGGGCTTGGCGCGCGGTCGCCGAGGCCATGGATCGAGGGAGCTGCCCTCCCCAGAATGCGGCAAATGCCGCCCCGCTCGGCGGCGGAAATACGCGACTTCCCATGGAAGCGGGACCCGCCGCAGATCCAAGCCCCCTTGATCCATGTTGGCGATCGGACCCATCCTCGCTCGTCCGGCATCGTGGCTTCCACGCGCCGCCTCCTCCCCCCTCGGTCCCTGCCGCCCTCTTGCCGAGCGTCCGCCACAGTGTGCCCCTGGCACGAGGCCGAGTGCCCCAGGGCTCACGCAGCGCTGAGAGGGCTGTGCTGCTGCTGCTGCAGCCAGTAGCTCGATGATCCTCAGAACGTGTGTCAGCACCAGCGTGTGTTTGTCCACCGAGGCCCTCCGCTGCGATGCAGGCGGTCCAACGAGGGTCGACACAGACTGCTCGCTGTCGGCGGAATGGAACGGGGTATTGGGGGGCGGAAAGATACGGATACGTGTGGTCCCCGGACCTCTCTTGGGGTGCGTTCTGACCAGAATTTCGAGGCGAATCCAGCGGTGACAACGAGGATTCCCCAGGAAGACCAGGAAAGGCCGAAAACGAAGGGGGACAACACGTATCCGTACCTTTTTCTCCCCCGAGGGTAGACACACGTTTGAGCCAACGCACGTCCTGAAGATCATCGAACATTGGCCTGTAAGGGCCTGGACTTCGCTTCCCGGGGCGGCTTGGGGGTCTGCCAGAATATCGCCCGCGTCGGCCTGCCCCGCCCTGGAGGGCCCCCCAACACGAGTCCAGATGCCTCCAAAAGGCCCCCGCAGAGGACAAATGGAGCCCCAAGTCGCCGCAAGATCGCTCCAAGACGCTCGAGATGGCCGAAGAGGCCTCCAAGGCGCCACAAGAGGACTCCAAAAGGGCCCCCAAGAGGCAACTCATTGATTGTCCTAAGATATGATGAAGGTCTTGGCATTCTCGCCTGTTCGGCTTTCCAAGGCGGCCCCCAGGGCCACCTCAAAACGGCCTAAGAGGCTTCCAGAAGGGCCCCAAGCCCGCCTAAGGGCGCCCCAAAACGGCCCTAGAGGCACCAAAGATGGCCTCAGAGGAGCCTCGACGGGACCAAGACTGCCCAAAAAGGAGCCCAAAAGAGGGAGCACGAACCGAAAATCCGAGCCTTCCGCTCCAAGACGCCCCCTGGAGGCCCCAAGAGGCGCCCACGAGGCCCCAAGAGGCCCCCAAGAGGCCCCCGAGAGGCCTCAAGAGGTCCCCAAGAGGCCTAAATGATGCTCCAGGGAGCCTCAAAACTGCCTCCAAGAGGCCCCCGAGAAGCCTCCAACGAGATCCCAACGAACACTCAATAGGCGTCATACCCTCGACCCAGACACGGTGGCGGGATGGGCCGAAGGCCACTCGACTTGGGCCGGCACGGACACCGAAAGAGCGCCTCAGGAACTTGCCCGAGATGGCTCATGTCACCATTCGCTTCTGGGAGCCTTGGTGTTAGGAGCTTGTTGCCTCACCGCTCTCGTGGGGAGCCCTGGTGTTCGGAGGCTTTTGCGTTGCCGCTCGCTCTGGGGAGCCTTGCTATTGAGAGCTTTCTACGTCACCGCAATCTGGTGAGCCTTGGTGTTAAGAGCTTGTTACGTCACCGTCAACTCTGAATGGCCTGCGCTGTCCGGGACAAAGTGGCGGAAACCCGAAGGGTTTGCCCGTGTGTCCCTCGAAATGTTGTGCAACACAATGGTAGTTCGATATATTCCTGAAGGCGCCGTCCCGGGACGCTCGTTTCGGCGGTGCGGCCAGAGCCCCAACGATGTGCACGTATGCAATGCTACATCGGTTTTGGAGCGATTTGTAGGGACACACGGGGATAACTAACGCTGGGGTTTCCACACAAGTCCAAACTACAGGAACAGACCAACGTTTTGGAGAACACTAACGTGGGAGCCTTGCTGTTGAGAGCTTTGTACGTTACCGCACATTGGGGAGCCGTGGTGTTCACAGCTTGTTACGTCAACCCTCGCAGTTGGGAGCCATGGTGTTACTTGGCGTCTCTGGGGCTTATTGTGGGTCTTTTGGGGTGCCTTTGGGGGCCCTTTCGGGCCGTCTTTGGGCCCTTTCGGGCCGTCTTGGGGCCATGTTGGGCCGTCTTGGAGGCCTTTGACCGTCTTGGGGCTCTCTTGGGGGCCTCTGGTGGCACGCTTGGGAGCCTCTTTGGGCCCTCTTCGGGCTCTCTTGGGGCCGTCTTGGCGCCCTCTTGGGTCGTCTTGGGGACCTCTGGGGCCGTCTGGGGGACCCTCTTGGACAGTTTTCGGGCCATTTTGGGAGCCTCGTGGGTCGTCTGAGGACGATATTTGGAGCATCTTCGACTGTTATGCGCCGTACTTGGCCCGAAAAGGCAAGACCGCTAAAAATTATCCCAAACCACTGAATTATCAATTATATGTGCCTCTGTGGGCTGTCTCCCCAATTAGTGCTTTGCGCGGCCCGCCTAGCTCTTCACCGGAAGAAGCTCGCTCTCGACCCGCAGACCAAGAAGCCTCTGTGGGCCCTCTTGGGAACTCTTGGAGGCCTCTTGGGGCATCTCGGGGCCCTCTTGGGCCGTCCTGGATGCCTTCGGCCGGATTGGAGCTTTCTTTGGGGCCTCTTGGGGCCCTCTTGGGGGCCTCCTTGGGCCCTCTTGGGGCGTTGTTATTAATTTACTACTTTTCGGCAATGCGCTTGCTGGTGGAGCGGCTGAGGAGTAGAAAAAGAGAAGGAGACAAGCCAATCACGCGCAACCCCTAACACTGAGAATGACGCAGCGTCACCAATGCTGATGGTGATTGTTATTATCAGGCTTTGAGTCGTGCGTCATGTCGATGATGGAAGACACGGCGAGGAGAAGCGCGGTGTCTTCCCCAGGCTGCACCTTGAGCTTGAACTTGTCAGGGAGCCAATCGTTATCGAAGATGGCCCCAGCGTTCATCTTCTGCTTTATCTTCGCTACTGGTCGGGCGCTATGGTCGTAGTCTTCCATGGACTTGTAGAACTTGAAATCCCAGCCGAGCCACGAGCCAACGCAGTAGTAGATCATGTCATTGTCGCGTTCACGTCCACGGTAGATTCGCCACTCTTCCTTCTCCCACAAAATGGGGATGCCCCTTCCGAACTGATCTTTGTTGATCGTGAAGAGTGCATCGTCATTGTCTTTGGAACCAGGGGGCAAAATGCGGAACGACCAGCGCCGCTGGAGGGGATTCCAAACATTACTCGACAAACGAATCTTGAAAATTTCCGTGCCAGTATTGTCGTACACATGCACGCTCTTGTGCCCAAACGAATTAGACTGCCACTTGCCCTTCAGCTTAGCAATCTTTGCATCGATTTCAAACTCGCGTCCTCCAAGCTCGACCTCATCAAGCTCCCATTTATACTCATTCGTCTCCAAAAACTGTGTCTTTTCCTTGTTCTTCAGCTGGTAGACCACACCAGGAGGAGGCACTAGAGAGGGAATCAAAGCCTCACCAGACAATCCCAGCTGCAGTGAGTCAAGGCTCGGCATTTTTATCTGGATGCCAACTGGGAGGTCTTTCCACTTTCGACCGCCAACGCTTGTCACATCACCAATGCTCTCTCTTACAAGCGCCCCTTGGCTTTCGACGGTGCCGTTCGTGAAGTCTGTGGCCTTGGCATCAGAGCCATCTTCTAAAGCAGCTCTGAATGCGCCACTCATTCGGGCGCCATCTGCTCCCCGGATCAGGAGACAGACCACCCACGCTGCTGCCAGAGCAGGGGGCATTGCGCGACTCTGCAAGGAGCGAGCTCTGCCGCAAAGATGGGTTTAGCAGGCCGAGGCGAAGATCTGATATCACTCGAAGGCGGCTTGAGCCAATGTGGCTACGGAGGCCCTCTTGGGGGCTCTCTTGGGGCCGTCGTGGTGCCCTCCGGGGTCGTTTTGCGGCCCTCTTGGCTCTTGGGGCTCTTGGACCGCTTCATTCGAAACAGTACGAGGAATCGGGCCCTTGGTGCCGCCCTGAAGCCGTTTCACTCAAAAAAAAATAGCCTGGCGAAAAACCCAACCATATGCAGTTGTGAGTACCGCAATTGTGAATATCTTCTTCGGTGGCGCTCCCTATGGGGCCACGAAGCGCTGCACTGGGTGGGTGGAACGTAGGGAACAAGGGCCGTGTTGGGTGGTGGCGGACGCATGCGGGCGGTGCCACTGGGACCTTCTGTGGAGCTCCCTATGGGGCCACGAAACGCCGTACTGGGTGGGTGAAACGCAGGGAGCAAGGGCTGTGCTGGGTGGTGGCGGACGCATGCGGGCGGTGCCACTGGGACCTTTGGTGGAGCTCCCTATGGGGCAACGTAGCGATATAGTGTGTGGGCGAAACGAAAGGAACAATGGCTGCTGGGTGGTGGCGGACGCATGCGGGCGGTGCCACTGGGACCTTCGGTGAAGCCCCCGATGGGGCCACGAAGCGCTGTACTGAGTGGGTGAAGCGAAGGGAGCAAGGGCCGTGTTGGGTGGTGGCGGACGCATGCGGGCGGTGCCACTGTGACCTTCGGTGGAGCTCCCTATGGAGCCACGAAGCGCTGTACTGGGTGGGTGAAACGCAGGGAGCAAAGGCTGTGCTGGGTGGTGGCGGACGCATGCGGGCGGTGCCACTGGGACTTTCGGTGGAGCACCGTATGGGGCTACGAAGCGCTGTACTGGGTGGCTGAAACGCGAAGCGCTGTGCTGGGTGGGTGAAACGCATGGAAGAAGGAGGATGGAGGGGAGGAGGGGGAGGAGGGAGAGCTGAAAAGAGGAACGAGGGGACCGTCTCTTCCAAACGAGGGCCCCGCACCACAAGATGGTTGGGAAGTAAGGAAACTGGCCATTCGACTTTTCGCCCGCGCGTCGCCCCTCCCCTTTAACCCCTCCCAAGATGGCCTCGCCCCACCAACACGTCATCGCTCGTACATCGCTCGCTTCGCTACCTGGGCTGGTACGGGAAAAAAACTTGCCCGAGATGGCTCATGGCATCCTTCGCTCCTTGGAACCTTGGTGTTAAGAACTTGTTCGACCGCTCTCTCTTGGGAACCCTGGTATTCCAAACCTTTACGTTGCCGCTCGCTCTTGGGAGCCTTGCAAGACTGATTTTACGTCACCGCGCTCTGGGGAGCCGTGATGGTAAGAGCTTGTTACGTCACCGCTCGCTGCTGGGAGCCATGGTGTTATCTGGCGTCTCTGGGGCTTCTTGGGGGTCTGTGGGGTGCCCTTTAGGTCCGTTTGGGACCCTCTTGGGCCGTTTTGGGGCCAGCCCAGTCCCCACGCCCAAGCAACCCAATACATACACCCCTTGTGTGTCGTCTTGGGGGGCTGGGGCCATCTTGGAGTTTTCCTTGGGGCATGTCGGGGCCCTACTCAGAGCCTCATGGGGCCAGCTTGGGGCTCTCTTGGGGTCGTGTGGGGGCCTTTTGGGTCGTTTGGGAACCTCTTGGGCCGTCTTGCGGTCAACCCAGCCCCCACACCCAAGCAGTCCAATCCCTACACCCCTTTTTGTGCCGTCTTGGGGCGTATTGGAGGGTTGTGGCCGTCATGGAACGTTCCTTGGGGCCTCGTGGGGCCCTCTTTGGAACCTCATAGGGGCGCACTTGAGGCTCTCTTGGGAGCCTCTAGGCGCCATCTTTTTGTCCTAGCTTCCAATTCTCTGCATTACTGACAGGGCCGCTTGGTGCGTGTCTGGCTCCAGGTTTGGCTTGCCATGGCCGCACGAGACGACATCGCACGTGTCGCGAAAAGGTCCCTTCGAGGTGCCAATTGGCAGCTCAGACAATTACATCGCGAAAGGTCTTCTCGTGAAAGGTCTTCTCGAGACAGCTCTGACAATTACATCGCGGTGTGAACGTGGATGCAATGTACAACGCTCGACAATGGCTGCACCAAGGCAATTGAGCGTTGTGTCGGGGAGGAGAAGAAGGAAGAGAGACACTGAACCCCTCGTTGAAATTGAAAAATAATGCAGCAACACTTCGACTATGCCGAAGATCGCTATGCATTAAAGGCCGACGGTATCGAACCTGGAGCTTGTGGCCAGTCGGGTGCGGGGAGAAAAACGAAGAAGAGGAACAGACGAAGTGGAAGAGGAAGAGAACTCAAACCCCGCACAAAAAAAATTCAAACCCGGGGCACCATGCGAACTTCCGTGAATCGGAACGCAACCCTACGCGGCTTCCGCTATTGAGCGGCCAGGCAGCGACAGGGCAAAATGAAGTACCAATCCAAAAAAGACGCGGAGGGGAGGGAGGTCGAGCACGAGGGTGGAACTTTGTGGACCACAGGCCTGGTGCCCATGAGGTTCTGAAAACTGTAGACAATACCTGGTCAGAAAAGAATGCTATCAAGTCAAACACAGACGGCGGAAAGTACTGCAATAAACAATCGACCAACGAATTGTGCTGCTGCGGGGATGTTCAGAGAGCCGACCTGCATGAACTACCAATGGCGTTGCATCTGCAAGGGGTCTGGGATCGCGCAAGGATGCCCCTTGTCCCCGTTTTTATATGTAATGGTGATGACAATGATAATACAAGACGCACCCGCGACGTTAAGCGACTCGGCCAAGACAGCGTTTGAACATGGACATTTCCCGGTCTTACTGTATGCGGACGACACTCTGATCTTTGTAAAACACCAAGAGCACATGCAAGAGCTGCTGAACGCAATCGCCACTTCTGGAGGAAAAGCGGGCATGGAATTACATTGGGACAAATTCCAAGTGTTACATGTGCAGAACGACATAGATTTATTATCGCCCTCTGGAGCACTTACACAGCCACAAGATCGTCTGGTCTACCTGGGAGTTACAATTAACAACACTGGCAGAATATCCGGGGAGCTCAATCGAAGATTGGGGACGGCGTGGGGCGAGTTCTCCAGGTATTGTAAAGTTTGGAAACGCACTTCGATCGGTGTCAACAGAAAGCTGATGATCTTCGACGCGATGATCACCAGTAAGGTCATGTACTCCCTCAGTTCTGCGTGGCTTACCAGAGCTGACAGGAAGCGGTTGGACGGCTTCCAGGCCAGGTGTATCAGACAGATTTTACGCATACCTACGGCATTCATCTCCAGAGTCTCTAACATGCTCGTTTGGGAAAAGAGCGAGCAAGCGCCGTACAGTTCCCAATTGTTGAAACAACAGCTATTACTATTTGGGAATATTGGTCGGTATCCCAACGATCATGTTTTGCGGAAGCCAACGTTCCAGCCGGACACCGTCCTCCCCGCGACGCGCGCTTGCGAGCGCAAGCGGGGGCGGCCCAAACAGGAGTGGGCGGCTAAATTACATAAACTTGTGAGACCCCACTTTGAGACCGTGAAATCTTTCGTGGCAGCAGTGGCAGACCCGATACGTTGGCGATCGCTTGTGTTCAATGTCGTAAAGGACGCCAGTAACGCAGAAGAGAAAATTATTGAATGAGAGTTGCATTGCCTGTGCGCCCTGGCTGAAACACACATCATCGTCATCTTCCTCCTCTCCTCATCCTCCCGGCGCGCATTTGGCGCGTCGTCGCTGTCTGTCTTGTCGCGCGTTTGGCGCCTCCTGTCCGCCAGCTAACGCGTTTGGCGTAGCTCGCACGCTCGCCAATTGTCTTGCCCACGCGCGCTTTGCGTATGACTGCTTCGTTCGTTGCATCTGGCCATATGTTTCCATTGGGGGACGGCCAAACAATGCGATGTACAGATGCCGCGCCCGATGCGTCAAGGAGTGCGACAGCGGGCGCTGTGTTCAGGCCGTACAACTCCAGGTGGGTGCTGATGCCCCACGCGCCGCCCTGCTCGCTCTTCAGCTCCTTTCGCAGCCGCCTGGCCCCATTTTTGGACGCCCGAAATGGGTACGGAAAGAATGGGCACAATGCCCAACAACAAATGTTGTCCCAAACCAACAGCGGCCGCAGGGCAGGCGGCCTTCTGTCTCGAATGGACTCAGGCCGCGGCGGCGTGGACAGCGAATCCTGTTCAAAATGAACAGGAACTGCTGTTGGGCATTGTACCCATTCTTTCAATACCCATTTCGGGCGTCCAGACCATTGGCCTCGAACGCGCCGCACGCTGCGGGGACGTCTGCGACGGCCGCGGCCCGCGAAGCGGCAGCGAGACCGCCAGCAGCGCGGGCTGCGAGCTGCCGCTGCAGGGCGCCCCGCCATTGCGCGCGCTCCGCGTGAGGGCAGTGAGGCTGGGCCACAGCTTGAGCCAAAATGGCTACGCAGCCTCTAGGCTCCCTCTTGGGCCGTCCTGGGGCCCTCTGGGGCTGTCCTGGGGCCCTCCTCGGGCACCTCGGAGCCCTTTTGGGGCCCTCGTGGGGACCTCTGGGGCCATCTTGGAGCGACCTTGAGGGCCCCTTGGGCCGTCCTGGGTCGTCAGGAGCTTCCAAAGGCGAGAATCCCAAAAGCTACTTACCCTGGCGACGAACCCAACACCTGCGCAATGCGGGGCATGAGTAGCTTGGGAAACGTTCTACGGAAGTGATGACGTGACATGGGCGCATATATGCTTCTGCGAGCGGCATTCGTGAGGCTCGCAACCCCCAAGGATTGCGATGTCTCGCTCAGATCTGCCTGATGCCTCGCTCCGCTGGGCCCACCAGCAGCCCTCGAAAGTGGCGACGGTTGCGCAGATCGCACCCCCCCAGGCACGGCGAGGCCCCGCTCAGATCTGCGCGGTGCCTCACTCCGCTGGACCCACCAGCAGCCCTCGAAAGTGGGAACAATTTCGCAGATCGCAGCCCCCCAGGCACGGCGAGGTCCCGCTAAGATCTGCCGGGTACCTCACTCAGCTGGACCCACCAGCCGCCCTCGAAAAGGGCGACGGTTTCGCAGATCGCAGCCCCTCAGGGACGGCGAGGTCCCGCTCAAATCTGCGCAGCGCCTCACTCCGCTGGACCCACCAGCAGCCCTCGAAATTGGCGA